ATTAAAATTATAACATTTCTACAACGAAATATGTTTGTAGTCTAATTTTATACAAACTGTTCTAGTCCAAGCTAAATATTTGGAACCTAGTATCTTATGAATTTTTCTTTTCTTACAAAGTTTTTTTCTGCTACGGGCCCTATTCAGCTTGGTTAACAAATCATGTTAGTCAGCTGAAACAATCCAATGCTAGGTATCGCCAATCCTCATTGAAATATGCGGACAAAAACGTTGTCCCACCTCCAATTCGATCCATGTACTTTTTCACAAATGATCACCTCACGTCATAACATTTTACTGTAGTCTGTAACTAGTTATAATATGTTATGTTAAGTCTAAAGAGGCAGAGTAGGCTTGTTGACTATTCTGATTAAGCAGCCATTGATTTGGAAGCTCATGAAGCCATTGTCTTGATTTGATACTAAAGTGTGTGATTCTCCACATATCGTAAGAATGTACCTGAGGAAGCAACGAGTAAACATTAAATTATTGAAACTGGTTTTTGTTGTCAGCGTTAGATTTCCTCATAGCGATTTACAGGTAACTATTTTGACCACGAATCTGGAAGGTAGTATTATCGCATTATCCAACTTAAAATTATTCAACGGTGTCCATATTTCGAGCCTGTTACAGACTACAGTCAAAAGTAATGAAGTTACCAAAATTGCCTGTGAATCATTAGATGTCTCTGACAAGGTGTAAATTGTTACAAACAGTGTTTTTATATTCTTGAAAGTTACAATATATTACTTGATTAATGGTCCAGAAAATACAAAATATGCACCAGAAATAAAATACGAATCCTTTACTGTATGGAATCATTTTATTGCATTTTGATAAATCTAAAGTGATTGCTAACATTTTTCACTAAAATTGGATAAAATCATAAATTCATTTCAATTTTTTTAATGATTTTGAGCTCCCTACAAATTGTGCCTCGTTTATCCAGATATCAACACTTTTTGCAACAAGTGATATTATTTTAAAACATTTAGCAAGATAGCGGCCTAATCAAATGACGAAATACATATCATTGATAGACAAAACCTTTAATTTTCATTATACATTATGTAAAATAATTGAAATATATTTTAGTCAATTTTGAACTAAGCGCAAATTTCAGGTTATATTGGTCTTCTGAAGTGAATATAATATTCTACATTATCACCATATTTAACAAATACCCGCCAATTTCCAATGATAGGATTTCATTGATGTAACAAAGGCCTTTGACATGGTTGACAGAGACTGATGTTGGCCCTTACTGGCTGGCGACCAAACCTCCTGCATTTCACTATATTATTCCATATCAACACACAAGGTAATGTGCCATTTGATGGTAACTAATATATTTAGTATAAACAGTGGTGTGAAGCTAGGATGTATATTAGCACTACCACTTTTTTAACATTTTTTTTTGTTTTTGTTTGTTTGCCTGAAACACTTCATTCAAATCAGGAGATGAAGGCAACATAATACAAATTCGATCTGACGGAAAGCTTTTTAAATCTAACACGCCTTACAGAGGCATATCCAGATTATTATTTGAAAGAAGGGGTGGTCCGATTTTTTAGGAGTCACAGGCCTCGGATGTAAAGTCGACCCTAACCCCCGTTGGCCAGAAATTGGCATTTCGAAGGATGAATGGGTCCATTTGGTAGGGTTACGAACTACAATTCGGCTATTTCATTTATTGAAAATTCTAATTTTTTTTAGAAACCGAAGGGAGGGGGGTCAGTACCCCCTGACACCCCCCTTAAATCCGCCACTGACTGAGAACTAAGTACTAGAAGTATTTGTGAGACATTATTTCGCTGACGATGCTGCTCTTGTTTCACAAAGTAAAGCAGAACATTTAGACTAGTTGTTCAATGCATGTAAAGACATCAAGCATTGTATCAGTCTAAAGAACACACAAGTAATGGACCATGACTTTGATACCTAACCCACTTTCTTTATCAGTCACTGTGGAAAACGTTCCACAGTTTATCCATCTAGGTTCTCTATCGCTGAATTGGAAAGGCCGCTTTCAACATGGCTAAGCTTTCACGTCAGGAAAGGGAAAATGAGGAACTCACCAACCACACAAACATTGCATTGCATCGCGCGTGCATTGTGAGCTTCTTTGTATAAAAGCAAACCCTGGACAACCATGTTTTGCAAGAGAAGCTCATTTATATAGCTCGTGAGGTATATTCAGAAAGACCGGAGAAAGTCAGAAGTTGTTTTAGTGGATCGCTGTTTATTGCAAATAAGGAAATCATAGTGCACGTGAAAAAAAATAAAAAGAAAAAAGTTCTAATGATAATACATTACCAGTGAACATAAGCATAGGGAATTAGATGTCTCTAAATATATTATGGATATAAATTGTTATTTATGATTATCAAACAAAGAGCAATACGCATGAAAATACGCCATATAGGTGTGGTACATTGGTTGTTTATTATGTGAAATGCCCTTACTCCACACGCCTTTCACGTGAGTCTTGTATATTGAAACACAACGCCACTTTTTTTATCAATAGTAACAAACGCGCTTCTTTATTCTTAACCTATTCAACTAAAAGGTAGCCTCTAGCTCAACGTATCCTAACAAACATCTACCTTTCAAAATGTTTCCTCAAGCAATATAAACATATTCCTTTTTTCTTAGAAACAATAGAAATCATATGGCTATGCCACCTTGTCAATAGCTCTGCCACTTTATTCAATAGGACCTCTAATTTTCTAAAGAACTATTATGTTTTTAGAACTACTCAGGTTCTGAATCAAAGATAATATTTTAATGTTTTATTACTAAAAATTAATACAATATATTTTCAGTTACACTAGCTGATAATGAACATAATAATACCGCATTTTAAATATTATGTTACTGAATTTCTTTATATTTCATTAATGATTTAAGCAATATACATAGTTAACAAGATTTTACTTATATGGGCATTCATTTGATCTATAAAAGGATAGGAATGACATTTACATTCAGGTGCAATTCTAATTTTAAAAGGGGACCATTGGTGTGATTTTTTTCAGAAATCGAAGGGGGGTGGGGTGGACAGACCCCCCCTCCCTTCCCCCGACACCACTACTACCATCCACCCCAAATCTGCCACTGCCTACAACAACCAAAGTGTGCCGTAGTCTAAGAACGCCGTCCGCTAGAAGTGGCGTGACAGGCGTATATGATTATTACCTTTATCAACAACGTATCGCTTAGGGGAAGTTTGTGGTCTCCGTGACACAATCTCCACTTCCTTCGACACCACCCCTCCCTCTCCAGCCCAATCAAATTACATGAGTTATTATTATTATTGGAGTTATTTTTAATATGTAATAACGCTATTGATAATTCCATTTCAGCTAGGTGACATACTGTACTGGCAATTTCGGGAATCCTTAAAGTATAAAACACCAACGCCAGCCACACTCCTCAAATCAGGTTTGTACACGTACAAGACTATCGCATCCTGGAATGGATTCAAAGGACAATCATACGGTAGCTTTACCATAGATGGAAAAAAAGGGAAAATCGACGGAGCAGAGACATTCATTGTGTGCGCATTTAAAAAATGCAAATAATGCACACACGATTAATCATATCGGATATAGAACTTCCGTAGAGCAAGCATAACAACGGCAACTAAACTACACAACTAAGGACGAATAAATTTAATCAAATTGCCTAGCAGAATCTAGTAAATATAATTGTCATCTTTTTGTTTCAATTAGATTAACTTCATTGATGTATTGCACTAAAAATACTTGAAAACTTCAAAACGGATCATGTAATGAAAGTTGCCATTCATTTTTTCCCTCCAAATATTTAGGTAACATGCAGCTTCAGCAAGTTGTTGGTTTTTATGACTTTCATGCATGCTCAGCACTAGAAATAACTAAAAAGGAATAAATGTCTAAACGTTTTTGCCTCATTGTTCTTGAAATGCAGGGGAAAAGAAAAGACATTTTATTTGTCGGATAATCCTTGCTCTTGCTTAAAAAGACACCTTTGCCAACTCCTCCGCCCCATAAAATATAAACGAACCTATGCACTAGAAAGGCAATAAAGATAGCCACCGTCTTTTGATTTACGCTGAGATTCTCGGTTATCTTATGAAAAATCGTGTTTGGATCAAATTAAATATTAAAATTTGCAGTAATATTTTAATCAATATAAGTAGGTAACATTCTTTTATGGACAAACCGACTATACTGCTATCTACCAATAAAAATTAACAAATCTTTGTGAATGAGAACACTATGGAAATTGATATTTTTAAGAGCAACATCGTTAAAGACGGACCTGCTTCTTCACTTCCCTCGTTTAATAGTAAACAGTACGCCTGCCTCTAAGGAGTTAAGGCCGTATTTTTTTCACTGGGTGTACTAGCCTACAATGTTGTGACAGATTTCTACTCAAACAAAATAAAATCAGTAAAGAAACAGAATATATTTTTTACATTTTAATATACACAACGTTTCTTTATTTACAAATTTAACAACAGCGGTCTATTGTTTGGAAAATTAATACATCAAGGGAATTGATGGGTGACAGAAGTAGTATCCATTCTACCCTTTTGAAAAAAACCTAATGTCCTATAGGATCATATAGGTTGTTATTGCATACTATAGGACTTTTTCATTAGGGTAGTTTCAGTTCAAAATATTTTAATCAAATATACAAAGATTCACATTATGTCAAAATCAATATTATGTCTCAAAGATATTCCATGTACAAATGATGGACAGTGTTGTTTTCTCCTTCAAAACTGCGTCAAATATTTTATTTTTATAAATATAAAAAACAACCCTGTATAACGAATGCTGGTCTTTTTTTTACAGGAAAGCATAACCAAGAACAAGTATGGTTTCACTTTTTTGCTTTTGAAATAATGGTTTTTATACGACTTATGCTCCTTCTAATTTTCATGCCCTTGATAGATCTTTTCCGTGACCTAATATGACCTTGAATGTGACCTTTGACATGACCTGTACTGGTCACATGGTGACCTCATCGACTGTGTCACAAATCTTCATGAACTCTACAATGGACTTTGACAGTTCGTCATCAGGATTACCCTCACTGGTCGCCAATGCTTTTCGTCCATACTCTTTGGCCTGAAAACAAACACAACTATCATGACTTTATTTTCTTTCTTTCTTTTCCATTATTTACTTGCAACATAGTTCGTGTTATTTAAAATGCTTTAACAATAATGAAACATTAATCAAAATAATCCAAAAATGTTTGAACAAAATTGAAAACGTCCTAATATTTTCTTTGCAATTATTTCTTTACAGATAACATTAATTTTTCTAATCTAGGAAGAGATTTTTTTTGCAGAAAGGGTAAGGAATAACGAAGTAAAATTTTATCAGCTGATTTTGTTACGTCACTAAAAACATAATTTTTCTGCCCCATTTATTAACTTTTCACTTTTCGTCTTTCTGAAACAAACTTTCTCCACTTCATGTAGTATAATAAAAAGCACAGCCAAAGCATTTCAAATCTTGGTAACAATTTCAGGTTTTTTATTTGGCTGTTGAACTCTGATGTCATATATCGCATTTAGGACCTGCCTGGCTACTGCTTCCTGTGCCTCGTCTAAAATATATGTTAAAAATTTTGAAAAATAGGATAAATGGTTTGACAGTGTCATTCCAATTTACAGTCAGATAGGATAAATGTAACTAAGTAATGTACCATTATATTCCTGTATCAAATACCTTGAGAAAGATAATTAGACAATAATAAAAATTTACAAAATGAACAAAAAAAAAAAAAAATGAAAATTGGAAATAAAATAAAATATAAATGGTATACTAATAGAAAACCTGTTCTTGTGCATTTGGTTAATCGATTACATCAATCAATACGAACTAAATGTTTTCCCAAAGCACATTGCTGTAAGTCTTTGAAAATATCAACTTTTCAAAAATTAAATAATAATGAAGTTAGAATAAAACTAAAATAATGAAATATTAGAAATATTTTAGGATATTAACATTTTAAGATATTATGGCACATAAATATCAAAATGGCAGGATAGTGTGGGGCAAGTTCATAGGCAAGCTTATAAAAGGAGACCAACCGTCTGCTGAAGGACTAAGGTAAAATTCATTAATTCACTAAAATATCAAATACCACTGACACGAATTTCCAGTCAGTTAAAAAATACTCGCCCAGCCCCTCCTCTTCCTCTTGGTTTATCTCCATGGCGATGGCTTCAATCCCTGTCGTATCTATGGGCGTGGCTGTTAGAACACTGACTATCTTGTGTAAGTGGTCATACCAGCTATCTGTGACCTGGAAGGTACAAAATGTCACAACTAAAGCAATTGTTAGTGTTCATACTAGCTGCCTTTACCTGTAATATACACAATGTCACAACTAAAGCAATTGTTAGTGTTCATACCAACTGTCTTTACCTGTAATATACACAATGTCACAACTAAAGCAATTGTTAGTGTTCATACTAGCTGTCTTTACCTGTAATATACACAATGTCACAACTAAAGCAATTGTTAGTGTTCATACCAGCTGTCTTTACCTGTAATATACACAATGTCACAACTAAAGCAATTGTCAGTGTCCATACCAGCTGTCTTTACCTGTAATATACACAATGTCACAACTAAAGCAATTGTTAGTGTTCATACTAGCTGTCTTTACCTGTAATATACACAATGTCACAACTAAAGCAATTGTTAGTGTCCATACCAGCTGTATTTACCTGTTATATACAGAATGTCACAACTAAAGCAATTGTCAGTGATATTACATGCTATAACATGGGATGTATACAATGTCAATTTTACCATTAACTTTGACTTGAAAAGTAAATAAACAGAATCAGGATGTTAAGATACTTGATTTCGATGAAGGGTCTATATGTAAAAGAAAGTTAATGCAATATGCATATACTGTATGTCAGAATTTTTAATAGTGTCATCTATACAGATACTGAAAAAAGGTCACCGGTATAAGTTCAAGCAAAATAAAAAAAGTAGTTTATGCCCGAGCTCTGTAACGTCGTTACCATATAACTGACACACAAAGCTGTACAGGTGAACAAAACAATAATAATATTTCAGTCTCATATGCCGATGATCATGAGCACTGCTGTATATATACGCGTACATTGTAAATGTAAATTGACAGGATACCAGTATTTTTAGTTTTAGATCTGCAGCAAATAAAAACATTTAGCTCTTTCATTTGTAATGGTTTTATTTACTTTCAATGCAGGGTCATACAATTCACTCGATATTAATGTTAGGGTATGTGTGTGTCACGGGTACTATGCAATATACAGACTTGACATTTAATATGGAATATTTCAGTTTTAAAGGTATATCTAGGTAAAAATGCGTTCTTTTTTCAAAAAAATCAGATCTCACATAAGATATCTGACTGGAGACGTATGAAGTCAGGTGTGTCGCTGTCAATTAACTAACTACCAAGTCTGTTGCACTGTTGCATTGTGTAATATGCAGTGATTTAATTGGCTAGTGCTCCCTTGAGCTGGTCAAAGCTTGGCTTTGATGAAGCATGGTTCTGTCAAAAAAGTATCCATATGTCGGCAACTACTGCATCGAAGAATTTGAAATTTTGCATGCAAGTGGTCGGTTTTGCAGTGCGTAAAATGAGCTAAGCACTGTTTTATGAAATTGGTAAGCTGTGCCAGAATGGCGCTAAAAAGACAGACATTGCCAGACAGATTTATTGTGTCAAACGGAATGGTCTGCACAGTTTTATAGAGTTATGCCCAGACTGATGCATCTACACAGAGACCACGCCCAATGTATCGACATCGTACCACCAGAGTACAGGACTCATTGTCCTTCAGGATATGCTGCTACAATTAAACCAAAACCACCCAGTCCGTTTTAAATGAGGGGCAAATTGTCACCAAAACGCGTTTTTCAAGGCTCTTAGCGAACACCAAAATGGTTTCAGCAGGTTAGGATATCAGGCGACCTCTGAGGAAGTCACTGTAAACAGCAAAACAGCGTAGTCTGCCTCTGTAATGAATTGGGGACCATATCTGTTTCTGGGTAGAACACTGAAACTGCGTGGCTTTCTTCTTTGAGGTCAGATTTCACCCGTGCCACTAAAATGGTCAAAACAGAGTTTACAGACATCCTGAAGAGACTTACAACAAGGCGTGTGACACACCTTAAATGACTAGGGTCACTGACAGCGTCACTAATAGGAGTAGATACCACATTGGTGCCAAAACACTAATGGATGTCATCGATGAAAACCTGAACCAGATCAAATAAAGGAATACTCTGGGAACTACTTGGCCATCATTTGATAGGGGGCACCTTAGGAACAATTTTAGGTTGCACGATGAGATTACCGATTCACACGGAGCACTTTTAATAGCAGATAACTTACAGAACCAAGGGAATAAGCAGCTACCCCTGGTCATCAAAATCGCCATATTTGAATCACATACACAATATGTGGGTAGGTCATTACTCTCCGAATTAACGGCCTGCATGTCCTGCGACAAAACTGAACCAAATTGGACAAGTTTTAACCGGTGCCTGGAATTTAATTCCAGATTAAACTCTAAAAACCAATCCTAAGGAATGCCTTGCCGCTTGAAAGCTCTGGTAGCAGCAAGATGAGGTCCGGCGTAACAGCGACCATTGCTGTGATTAAACACTGACATGAGGGGCCTTTGTAGGGCGTGTAACTCTTTTAAAGACGATAATTCGGAAAATATGGAGATCCAAAATATCGCTTTCAATGGTTTTCGTATGACTGAAAATAGGCAATGCATTTTTGTTTGCTTCACTGGCGAATTCAGTTAATGAACAGATTATCAAAAGTTTTTAAAACACGATTTTAATCCTTATTTTCATTTATCAGTCAGCAAAATTGGAAAAAAAAACTGATTAAATGTGATTTGGAGAAAATATTCCATATTAAATGTCAAGTCTGTATTTGCAAATGCCTCTATATAGATGTCTAAATATTCCGCACAGCTGCTTATCCCTCCCCCCTCCCTATTCATTTTTTTTAAGATGTAGATATCTCCTTTTAAAATGCCAGAAAGACATGTCGGTCTAAATGTTTACAATTCGTTCAAGTCTATGTCATGTACTTGAAAGGTACAAAACATCAAATACTTTCTTGCTGAGACTTGTTAAGGAATGGTTCGCAAATAAGAAAAGCTGTTCTACTTTCTGGGGGAAATGAGATTAAGTATAAATTAACAATGGGAGATACTTTTATGCGCATAATATGAACATTGAGGCCGGTCGAGTCAAGGGCATCAGCTCCCGCGATCAGTTTTTCATTTGTGGGTTTTATAATTTTAGAGAGTCGATCATAATTTACACTCTAAATTTTCGTCTTCCGTGATTGCGTTCCGTTTACACTAGTGTGAGGTTGTATGCATCGAGCCCAACGTGTCACACTGCAATAAATTTATAAGGGTGCTTTTTAATAAGTTGACAGTTAAAAGTACCCCTATAATGTTGCTATACCAAAGACCATTTTGTATCCATTAGGGGTAATGTTAGTATTGATTAGGTAGAGTGCATATCACTGATTTAAAGAAAACTTTTAAAAATGCCTTCTAAGGAAGGTGCTTTCGTCGGTTTTTCTAGAAAAAAGCATTTTGTTCTTTTGACAAAAAAAAAAAAGAATTCAAAATACCTCTTATAGGGGTAACGTTTTCAAAATGTTTTTATAGTATTTACACGGCCTTACTACCTGTACCCCCCCCCCCCCCCCATCCACACACAACCATCCCTAACTCTCCAGGTTAAACGAGTTTTAAAAACATTTCGCTGACGGTACTTACAGCACAATCCCCAGATTGTGAGCAGCAGCATCGGACGTTCGTCTCTAACGTAAAACCTGATAAAAGATGTTGAGGTAAGTCGTTATATTTACCTGCGTTCCGAACCTTTAACCATGGAATTGTAGCAATTTCAGTATGCTTACTTTAAGCGGCATTTTGATGTATACGTTGAGGTAGACGATTCAGATAAATGCTCGTGACCCGCATGGAATATATGACAATTTATAAATAAATAAATAAATAAATTAAAACACATTGCAAGTTTATTGCTTTTGGAGCATTCAGATTCAATCAACGTCGATCTGGTTTTCACAACATCTGCAGTCCCTGAAAAAGATACGCATTCAGTAATAAAGGTTGAAAATGAAAATTAACTCGAGATAAGTATACAACTTTGAGGGAATCAGTTGCTCGCATAAATGCTGTAGAACAAAGCCCATTTGACAGGGTGGCCTGTTTTTTATGTTATATGCTTTCAATAAACAGTTTTTTTCGTCAAATCTGACGAACATTGTCCACCCTTGATGTCCGGAAACGTGCAATGAATAAAAATTACAAACAGGTTTGAAATACTATCACCGTTATATAGGATATATCGGATAACGCATTAAGATTACTTTCCAGATTCGCACGGTCAAAACATCAACGTGTAAATCGTTATGAGGAAATCTAACGCTCACTACAATAACCAGTTTCAATCATTTAATATTCATTGGCGTTTTCATTTACATTCTGCTGATTGTGTGGAGTCCCACTCTTTAGAATATTAAAAAAGGAAGGATCCTTAGAGTTAACTTCTTAATCAGATAAATTATTTTTTAAAGTACCAGTCTCTGTAAGAATCAGAAAAATAACATAGGGGCATTGGAACATGACCCTCCTAGATATTGTTTTCTTTTAATTTATTATGAAGAACTATGCTAAAAACTAATAAATTGAGCTCGAAAAGTTGCATATTTAAAATAATTTATTTTTTAGAGCGTTTTATAGTTAAGCCTGACATTTTTCTCCCATATGCTTTTCCATATAAAATGTTCAGGTAACCCCATATTCACTGACAAATAACTCGTATGGCCGACGTAGTTATGTAAGATGGCTATACAAGATGTTTACAGCATATATTCAGGTTCCCAAAAATGAAATAAAAATTTTTTCAAAACATAAAATGATTAAATTACATTAAAAACAATCAACGTTAAAACTACGCGAAAAAGACCATCTGCGCATGCGCAGTAGCGGTGACTGCTAAACTACGAACTCATTCAGATGTAAATAAATTGAATTAAGGTTATTTATCTCATGAAATGGATATTTTTTGGATAAATGGCACTTGTTTTCTGGATCATTTATTGCTTGGATTGTTTATATGCTGACTGGTGTGTAGTATTTGTTTCCGCACATCGTTTTTTTATATACAACATAACTAATTTTATCCAAGATGGCGGGAGCTGTGATTGCCGTCGGTTTCGTATGTGGAAGGAGA